GCTCTTCACTGACCCCCTCTAGCCCTCAGAGGCGCAGCGAACTCAGGGAAACTCGGGAAAACACTAAAGATGTCCTAAGTCTACTTGAAAAATCGGGCTCTCGTTTTTGTATGATCTATTCATGGTCTAGGTACGGTTTTTCACCTTGTGACTTAAAAAATCTCAAACTTATTTGTGTTTGACGACACGTCTTAAATGTTTACCTGTATTAGGAAGGACTCCAGGTCCAAACGACGTTAAGAAAAATCTAGAAACCTGGAAGCCAGGCTCTATTTTTAACTTTCGGGAGGAACTATTTTTCTTCCTTCATCAAGGTGGCGGAAGGTTACGAGGTTCCGGTGCTGCGAGTTGTCCCTGCCCCATAAATACGGGTCCCCCCGGCGCTGCGGCAGGCATTCAGGCAGCGAGCGCAGAGGCGGCTGGTGAGGCAGGAGACGCAGCTTGAGGAGATCGCAGATAAGTTTTTTTCTTAAAAAGATTGAGATTAAAAATTAGAACTCTAAACTTAGACTGTTAAATAGAGTAGCTTGTCGAGATAAGGCTTAGAGTTAAATTCTTAACTTCTAGTGTAAAAAGATTTTAAAAGAAAATATGAAGGCTTATTTAAGGACTTTAAAACAAGGAAAAATAGTTGTACGATATGATGGCGCTGAGGTGAAGCTTTTACGAAGTAATTTAAAAGATTGTAAAGGGAGAGACAGCATAGTCTTTAAAAGCATTTAGAATATCCAGCTTGTAAACTACATTGAAACGAGAATTACTTAAATAGAATCAAATGCCTTTTAAAAACAGTAAAATAGTTTGAAAATGAGACTTAGCTTAAAAAGATTGAAAATAGGTTGAGTTTGGAGGCGGTTATAAAAGATCTCCGCTTGATGGCGCAGTAAAGATTGCGTCATTTGAAGCATTTATGTTTCAAGGCATTTGAGGTGGAACCGGAAGATTAATTGTAATTGGTAGTTTAGTATTGGAGAAGATTAGAAGTTGGAAGTGGAAAGTTGGAAGACAGAAGTACAGGAAAGTGAAGAAAAGCAGTAGAGAAGATAGCAAAATAGAAGATGAAGCATCTTTAGAAGACAGAAAAAGTGTTAAATGTAAGGAAGCAGAAGAAAATAAAAAAATGTCATGTAGAAGAAAACTAGTAGAAAAGGAAAAGCAAGTTACGACAACTTTGGATTCAAGCATTCAAGATAGGAAAAGAAGATAAGATTGAGAACAGAAGGCTGGATAAGATAAGAAAAAATGAGGAAATTCTTAAATGCATAAATTCAAATTTCTGATGGAGCGGTTTGAGTGATGTAGACAGCCATCTTACAAGAGTGAAACTAGAAATCAAAGCTATTAGGACTGAAGCAATTGAAAAGTTAAGGCAGAATATGTTTGAAGAGTTAGAAGAATTATAAATGCCTTAACTTGTAGCTTAATTTTGTTTGAAAACAAAGGACTTTTGGTAACAATTCAAGAATATCAGCATTTTGCGTTGGACTTTGAGCTTGAGGTGCTTTTAAAAATCCTAAGGACTAGCATTGGCAGCTGACCCAGGTCTACACAGAAGTGGATTCAGTGTGACCCTAGGAAGACAGGAACAGCAGACAGGAGTCCGAAGCCAGTTTGGTGAAGATAGGAGTCCAGGAAACAGTGCGGTTCGGAGGAGGAAGCTAGGAAGAAGGAGCCATAACGATGTGGTGGTGAAGCTAGGAGAGGATTCCAGGAAGGTGGAGCCAGTTGCGAGTTGGTGATGAAGCTAGCTGACGACTTGGCTTGTCAACTGCGCAGAGGAGGCGAGCAGGCATTGTGGAGAGAATAGATAGCGGCTCCTAGACCAGCATGCCAGTGTGCACGAAAGAAAGGCTGCAGGGAGAGCATGTGGTGCGGTAAAATTCGTGAGGTGGCAACGCGGTGTTTGTAACTTGAGGATGGTAACTTGTTTACTTTGCCTTCTTAATGGGGGAGTTGTAAGCTTCTGTGTCAAGGGATTTACTTGGTACTGTAGGCCGATTCCGGGTGTTGTAGGTTTTTCTTTTTCAGGCTTATGTCCTCTCGAATCTTGTCTGAAGCTTTTGAGGGCAGACTGCCAAGGCCCAGAAGAATGGTAGATGGCAAGTTGTCTAATCGATTTGAGGGAAAATGAATGAATGAATGATAGAACCAACACAATTCCACCAGTTTTGTAAGAAGTTTTAGTTTTGTTAACAGATGACCTACTGCAGTCTTCTGCGAGCCTCACTACTATGTAGTTTTGGGAGGTAACTTCGGGCAAATTGTTTTTGTGGGGATGGGGCCAAATATGTTTTGAGTTCTTTTCCCCTTAGGTCTTTCTAGAACCCTAAAGGCAGATGACTCGAGGGAACCAGAAAAGAAAAATCCAGTATCAGGATAATCAGGACTCAACAGGTTTTCAGTTTCTAGGAATTAGAGGATGAATACTAGCTTTCACTTTGAGTCTGGAGGAGCTGTCCATTGGAGAAATGGCTGGTAGTTTATTCTTTTTCCCCCCTTCCCTAATGAGATGTGTAAAGTTCTTTACCGTTTAAACGCATTTTTACTTGAAATATTTGGGAATGGTCTTAACAGGGAGGATCGGGTTGGGGGAAATGTTGTTTTCTAAGATTTTCCACAGATGCTATAGTTCTATTGGCACTGGGTTAGAGAAGGCCTATACTTCTATGCTGTTGGCACGACACCTTCAGGGATTGGAGCTGCATTTTATCCTTGGAAGAGTTTTCCCAGTTGCCGCTGAAGTACAGCACAGTGCAGCTTTGGTACACAGTCACTTCAGGAGAACCTCAGGAGCTTGACTAGGCCAGAAGTTGAAGTTAAGTTTTCAAGCACCATGACTTAAAAAATTTCAAATAAAGGGGAGGGGCAAAACTTAGTTGGCTGTGGCCTTTTGTGTTTGGGTGGTGGTGGGGGGTTAGGTAATTGTTTAGTTTATGATTTCAGATAATCATACCAGAGAACTTAAATACTTAGGATGGAAAACTGATGAAAATCTCAGCTTTCAAGTTGGCAAGTAACTCCCACTCATACAGCTTTTTGTTGTTGTGGTTTTTTGTTTTTGTTTTTTTTTTTTGAGTTGGGCAGCTGAGGAAGATTGCTCTGGGTATACCCACCAGTCCATTAATTTGGGCAAGGAGAGTAAAAACCAAAACAGTTGTCTTTTTCCTGAAAAGTGTACGGCTTGGGATGGTCTGGTCCACTGAAATGTTAAGTTGGGATTTTATTTTTTTTAATTTACTGGATGTAGATTGTAGTGTGGTTCTCTTGAAATTTTTTTCAGGTGACTTAATGTATCTTAATAACTACTATAGAACTTCAGAGCAAAGGAAGTGGCTTAATGACCCTGAAGGGATTTCTCCCGGTGATAGCTTTTATATTATCAAGTAAGAGATTCCATCTCAGTATAAGCAAGTTTTTTCCTAGTGTAGGAGAAATGCTTTTCCTTTGTGACAAGATGTGAAGGTATGCTGTCTCTTTTGTGTACATTGTATATTTTGTATTTATTTGTAATTTATCATTTGAGATTTGTGTTCAGCCTGAATGTCTTAGAGGGTGGGCTTCTGTGGATGAGGGAGGGGAAACCTTTTTTTTTCTGTAGACTTTTTTCAGATAACACCATCTGAATCATAACCAGCCTGGCAGTATGATGACGTAGATGCAGAGGGAACAGCTCCTTGGTGAATGATAAGTAAAGGCAGAAAGGATAATGTCATATCTCCATTGGGGAATGAGCATGAGCCCAAGATTCTTACTACTGATGAAAATGCCTCCATATGCAAAAAATTAAGCAAATGAAATCAACCAATATAAAGTTATGGAATCTACCATGTTTAAAAGTTAATGGCTTATCAAGCTTTATCCACAAAAGTAAAGAATTGATGGGAAACAATGAAGATAAATGTCCATCTCAAAACACTGCTTTTACAAAAGCAGAATAAAAATGAAATGAAATGAAAATGCTACATTAATCCTGGAGTAAAAAAGAAGCTGAAATGATTGATATGAGTGGGATCAAATGGATTGAGAGGAGGCTGTGCAGTGTGCCAATCTTTCATTTGCCTCAGACAGGTTTCTCTTCATAATCAGAAGAGTTGCTTCATTTCATCTCGGAGCAGGAAACAGCAGACTGCTGTTAACAGATAAGTTTAACTTGATCTGCAGTATTGCATGTTAGGGATAAGTGCTTATTTTTTGTAAGAGATCTGGAGGTACTGAATATGTCATTTGCCTGACCCCTTCTTTAGGGGATTTCAGGACTGAGCAGTTTTCCCATCCAGCCTTTTAGAAATTCTAGGCCTTGTGCATTGGGCTTTCATGATGGGATAGTAGGTAACAGGCTTTTGCATCCTAAGTAATTTCATCACAAAAGCCTTATATATAGTTAGTGCCTGCTTTAAATACATTGCTGACAGAACTAAGGATTTGAATCTCTGAAGACACTGAAAGGGATGTAACCTTGTGTGCTGACAGTCAGATAAGTTCATCTTGCTAAAATTTAAATGTGCTTAATGTACTTGTGCTTAAAACCATTAAATCATACAGATAAATAAAATATTTCACTAGGGTATGTATGCATTTAGAAAGCTGTCTTCCTTATTTAAATAAAGTACTTTTTTGTCTGTAGTTAGTGTTGGGCAATCTTGGGGGGATGTTCTTCTCTAATCTTTCAGAAACTTTGTCTTCGAACACTTAAACGGACAAGATCAGGACTTGAGCAGAAGACCGAACTTAACTTTAAGGCAGGAAAGACAAATTTTATTCTCCATACAGTGAATCAGCATTTATAATCCCATGTGTGGCATAGAGGCCCTGCCCTCTAAATAAGGAATAAGTACCTTAGACAGGTGGGAGATAATGGTCAGAGTAAAAGGTAACTACATATTTTGTTTCCAGAAAGTCAGGGGTCTAATTTGACAATGGCTAAACATCTAGGGTAAGATAACTTTTCCACACTTCCAAATTTGCATGTTAAATGCTTATGACCATTTCATCCACTGTTAAGCCTTTTCTCACCTCACTTGAGCCAGAATTTGGGCGGGCATGTGGGTTTTTAAAGAATTTTCCTTTGCAGAGGCTTCATTTCATCCTTCATGAAGCTGCTCAGGACTCTGACTTGCATATGAGTGCTTGGCTCTTCTGTTCTGCTAGTGAGTGTGTGAGACCTTGCAGTGACTTTGTTTTCCTGGAATTCGGAGGGAAGGGAGGAGGGGGATGGGGCTTACTTGTTTAGCTTTTTTTTGCAGACTACACAGAGAATGCAGGTGTCTTGACTTCAGGTCTTGTCTGTTCTTTGGCAAGTAATGTACAGTACTGTTCCGATCCGCTGCTATTAGAGAATGCATTGTGACTCGACTGGAGTATGATTAAAAGTTGTGTTTTCCCAAATGTTTGGAGTTGTGATTGTTGGAGGAAAACCCATGAGTAATACAGGCTGAGTGTTGGGAAATGGCTCTGCAGCTTTAAGTAACACGTGGTTGTGATTGAAGCCAAGTTCCTTATGCTGTGCTGCTTTAGGTAAATGTTTTTGTTCATTTTTGGTGAGGGGGTGGGGGCACTGAAGCCTTTAGTCTTTTCCAGATTCAACCTAAAATCTGACAAGAAATAAATTCAGACCAGCAACATTCTTGAAGAAATATTAACTGGCAAGTGGAAATGTTTTAACAGTTCAGTGGACTTTAGTGTATTGTCTTTGTGGGTGTCTCTCTCCCCTCCCTTGGTCTTAATTCTTACATGCAGGAACATTGAGAACAGCAGACACCTATTGGAGGGGCCAGAGAAGCCAGACCCAGTAAGGAAAAAAGTAGCTCATTTACTTTAAATCAATAAGTGAACCAAACATTCCATTTTCAATGTGGGGATTGGGAAGCACTAGTTCTTTCAGATGTACTCTTCAGACTGTAAAGGAGCTTCCAGTTGAATTCACCAGTGGACAAAATAAGGACAACAGGTGAACCCAGCCTTTTTCTTGTTTAAGATTAGCTATTGGTAAATTAGTGTTGAGTCCTCTTCAGCTTCATGCTGGAGTGGCTAGCATGTGATAAAACAATGGTATTGTTGGCCTTGGGGTGGAGGGGTGAGGTGGGCGCTAAGCCTCTTCTTAAGATTTTTCAGGTACCCCTCATTAAAGGCACCAAAAGCTTAATGTAGGACAGCGGAGCGAGCCTTCCTGTGGCAAGAGACAACCAAGCACTATTATACCAAGGTCAAAGTGGTGTCCAGGTCTGGTTTTGGTTAGCAGTGAGAACTGCCTCAACACCTTGCTTGGAGTGAGCATCCAAAAAGAACACTTGAGTGTCCCTGGGCTTGTTTTAATATCCAAAAGGCTGTTTTTATAGCAGCTGTTACCAGCCCAAACCTCAAGTTGTGCTTGAAGGGGAGGGAAAGGGGGAAAGTGGGCAACCAGTTTTCCCTAGCTTTTCCAGAAGCCTGTTACAAGGTCTCCCCACAAGTGACTTCTCTGCCACATCGCCACCCTGTGCCTTTGGCTTAATCAGACCCTTCACCCCTCACCTTGATGCAGCCAGTAGCTGGATCCTTGAGGGCATGATGCATAATCGGTTTCAAGGTAACCATGATGCCAAGATCTGGTGGGTTGCACTAGAAAAGGCCATTTCTTCCCTGCCTATAAATTATTAACAGAACATTAAACCACATCTAAGTAGCTAAGATGTTTTTTACATATGTGGCACCATAGTGACTAAACAAACTTAAACCAGTCAGGGGAATAGTAATGTTTGATACTTGAATGTTGGGTGGGAATGCAGAAGCCAGCTGAACTATAGGCAAGCCTTTGTCAGGGAGTTGCTGGGTGGGATTGCAAAAATTCTCTGCTAAGACTTTTTCAGGTGGACATTACAGACTTTGCCAAGCTAGCATCTTAGAGGAAGCAGATTCTTCAGTAGGGCTGTAAAGGTTTTTCTTTTCCTGAGAAAACAAACTTTTGTTTTCTCAGGTTTTGCTTTTTGGCCTTTCCCTAGCTTAAAAAAAAAGCAAAAGACACTGGTGGCCGGCACTCCTGGTCTCCAGGACGGGGTTCAAATCCCTGCGGTGTCTCTGCTTGACTGCTAGTACCCAAAGGCCTTGGCATGTTCCTTGGGGAGAGGGGGCGGCGGTACAAGGCTCAGATGGCCGCATACAGCACTGCAGATCTCTGCCCAGCCTCAGTGTTGAACTTCTCTGAGTAACTGGTAACTATATGTCAGGTTATGTCCAATTTGTGTTGATAAAGCCTCCATTATTGAAAACTTGTATATTATAAAATAAAAACTGAAAATCTCTTTTGACGTGTTCTTTGTGTGTGAGACATAGGCTTATTCTAAGCCTGCTGGACTCCCAATTTCTGATCTGCCTCACTTTCCTTCCCAGGATATATTAAGTTATGGATGAGGCCTCCCATTCCCCTTCCTTGGGCTTCATGATGGGTTTTTGGGGTTTATTTTGAGATAGGGTTTCTCTGTGTATCCCTGAGCTGGCCTCAAACTCAAGAGATTGCCTACCTGAATGCTAGCTAGGATTAAAAGTCCCCACCGGATAATGGCTGCTATAAGGACAGGCCTGGGTCCTGGATGGTCCTTTCCATATGAATGTAGCCACTCTGGCCTGGTATCCCTGAGATGTCCTTCCTGCTGTTCAGGTCTTACTCCCTGAGAAAAAGCATTCTGGATTGTCCATGAGTAAATTAGGAAAAGATGGATGCTAAGGGAGCTCAGCTTTGTTCCTGTATACTCGGAAGTAAGACTGGGTGGATGATAGTAATTTCCAAGTAGTTCAGGGAACTCTACTGGGCAGGTACATGGTATTGCCTAAAAGTCCCAATAACATTCCCAGGGAGCAGAACAGAAACTTGGGTGCATGTGGCACCATGTGTGGGGATGTGTTCACTGAACATGCTTTGAAATCAAAACTTGAGATGTTCTAGAGATGACACTGGCACTCAGGTCATGCCCCAAGAATGGGGCATTTATGGCTGTGGGGAGGAGACATCCATTGCTCCTAAGAATCAACAGCTGGGCATTGGTGGCCTTTAATCCCAGCTTTTGGCAGGCAGAGACTGGTGGATCTATGCGAGTTTGAGGCCACCTTGGTCTACAGGCTCCTTTCCTGCCAGGACAGGCTCCAAAGCCACAGAGAAATTCTGTTTGGGGCAGGACTACCACGACAGCAACAGTACTGGTTTTTCAACTGGGAGGACTGCAGGTCCTTCCTCTGGCAGATTAGTGTCTGGCTGCTGTAAGGGTGGGCAGAGAGGTTCAGGTGCCCCATCCCTAAATTTACCTTTCTCCTCCTTAGACCTTATTACCTGGGTAAAAACATCCTGAATAGATAAGGTTCTGCACACTGGGCTGGGAACATGTGTGACAGGCTGTACCTAGAAACTGGTGCTCTCTAACTGGGTCTCTGCCAAGACAATCCTAGTCGGTCTCCCATACTCTAGAGTTCTTCAGTGCAGGACAGTTTTGCAGCTGTAGAAGTAGCCCAATCCGGCCAGCAGACCAAGCTAGCTTGTGCCAGGCTCTGATGTCAGCTTTCCTGATGGTGGAAAGGTTGAACTAGACCCTGCCATGGGCCTCAGTAAGGACCCATTCTGAATTAGATCACAGGTCTGTCTCAAGGAGAAGCTCAATGCAGTCTTGGAAGGTCCAGAGGCTAGGATTACTTTGAGTTTGGGTCCTTGGGCCTCAACTTTGGGATTGCTTGGGTTCCAGGAATGAAGCACTGTGTTCTGTACCCACCCATGTGTCCACGTGCTCTAGCTGTGCAAAGGGTACTCAGGTGTCAACTGAAACAGCAGCATTCCCAACCAGGCTTTTGATGTCTGTCCCCAGCCACGGGCCCAAAAGCTGGTTGGCACAAGCCCAGCAGCCTAGCAGCCCTCTGCTAAGGCATGAAGTTAGGAGAGGAAAAGTTTAGAGGGAGGGATCTGGGAAGATGTGCTGTGATTCTTATTTTTTAGGTAGACTCAGGCTGGCCAATTTGAAGTCATGCCTCAGCCTCCTGAGTAGGATTACACAATGCACCAGTATGCCTGGCTACCTGGATGTTTTGACTCTGAAGCTCAGGTCTTTGCTCCTGCCTTTGATAAGCTGACAAACTTGAGAATTGCCCAACCTGTGCAATGCTACCCTTTAAGCGGATAGAGTGCTTTATTGCCCAAAACAAGGCAATTGAATAAGAAGTTACTGGATTTGCTGCCTCTTAGTGTACAAATGTGGTATTGCATGCAATGTCCTTGAATTATTCAGGTGTAATTCCTATTTATTTATTTATTTATTAAATTTATTTTGGCTTTTCGAAACAGGGTTTCTCTGTGTAGTAGTGGCTGTCCTGGACCAGGCTAACTTCAAAGTCATCGAGATCTGCCTGCCTCTGCCTCCCAAGTGCTGGAATTAAAGGCATTTGCCACCACCACTGGCTGTTTTAGTAATTTTCTTTGTAGGATCTCTCTATGAAATTCTGACGGTCCTGGAATTTGCTATGTAGACTAGACTAGGCTGGCCTTGAACTCACAGAGACCCTCTGTCTTTGCCTCTTCAGCTAATCTTGCCAGCCTATATCTCCATGACTAAAATTTTTTTTGCATATTTTTTATTTGAATTAGAAACAAGATTGTTTTACATGACAATCCCAGTTCCCTCTCCCTCCCGTCCTTCCCTACCATCCACCCTACAACTAAAACCCTACCTATCACATATCCTTTCTGCTCCCCCTGTATGGTGAGGCCTTCCATGGGACCAACTAAAATTTTTAAAAATTCATTTTTAGTTGGGTGTGGTGGCACATGGCTTTAATACCAGCACTCAGGAGGCAGAGGCAGGTGGATCTTTGTGAGTTCCCTTGTCTATATAGTGAGTTCCAGGACAGCCAGAGCTTATATATCAAGACCATCTCAGACAAACAAATTTTAAAGATTGATTTTTATTTTACATGCACACGTGCTTTACCTGCATTTCTGTATATTGCAACACATACAGTGCCTGTTGGGGGTCAGAAGAGGGCTTGGATCCCCTACAACTGAAATCAGATGGCTGTGAGCCACCATGTGGATGCTGGGAGTCAAACTCAGATCCTCTGGAAGAGCAGCCAGTGCTCTTAACCTCTGAACCATCTCCCCAGCCCCGACCCCTACTTTTTAAACACAGGATCTCACTATTGGAACAGGCT